AAAAGATGAAATCCCTTGGAGGTGGAGAGGTGCCACCACCTCGTGGCATTCACTATTAGCTGGTGATCTTTTATCACTGTTTATCGGTATTTATCACTATTTGCTGGTGATCTTTTATCTCCATCCTTTCTCGTTGAGGTATCCGAAAAGAGCCAGTTCCTAATGCTGATAAGGAAGGTCGAAACGGATGTTTCAATTCGTATAAATCACTTGTTACTGAGTTTATTTTGTTTGCTAGGACAGCCACGGTGCTCAGTGCACCCAGCTCTGTCCCCAGGACAGCTCCTACCCCGATGGGTTTGGAGGATCGGGATCCGGCCATGCCACCGTGCCGACCACATGGACTAGACAGAAATGGCCGGTTTAATTGCAGAGATATTAACCTCCATTGATAATTCCGCTGCTTTGAGGACCATGAAGGATTAAATAAGACTTGTTTTGGCTGGTGTATTTGACGGCATAGCGTCCAATTTTAGAAATGTGTGGAGATCAGATTTCCCAGGAGCCTGGGAGGTAGTGGAATGCATTGTGAGGTTTAAATTCGTTTTTGTTGTGGTAATATGCATTACTCACTTATAGCTATGGATACATATCTCCACCAAAACTTCCCTTTCATATTTTGTGTCAGTATTGGAAGCTGAGTAAATCAATTTCTCCCTTTTTGGCTGAAAGTTGTGCTTCACATATTACGGCTGTATTTCCCTCTGCCAAATTCATGTTATTCGGCTGAGCTCCTAAATTCGTACAATTGTCAATGTTAATTGTACAATTTTAGGAGAATCATTAGCATTGCTAATTATTCATTAGCAATGATCATCGAAATGCATTCAGGCTTAGGCATGGTTACAGCCATTAGCACAGTGACCATTACAGAGGGAGAAAGTGAAGGTTTCCATCTCCATCTGGAGGTCAGGTTTGGTGATTTGTGTGCTCAGTCTGGTTCATTCTGGTGCTGATTCCTTCTGTGAGGAGAATAAGCGTTCCTTCAATGGATAACTTGATTTTCTGTGGAGACATGCTGGTATCATTTTCTGAAAAAGTAAAATAATACAAGTCTCGTCGGGGTTTGTCCGGACAGGTTATTATCCTGTTAAAAACAGGGGAAAGCCACGGTGCACTAATTGTTTTGTACTTTTTGGAGACACTGCTATCCGTAGATTCCCAAGTGAGTGTGCCCCGAGGTTTAGTTAGTCTCAGGCATTGTTCTGTGCTACTTTTACAGTAACACTTTGTCCTGATTGGTTGTAAAGCTGTCAGATTCCCCTTGAATGGAAGGTGGAGCACCTCATTAAGGTTTGCATAAAATGCACACTGAGGTCACAGCGATTATTTACCCTGAGTATGTCCCTCAGCCTTGTGTGGCTTCAGGCTCTTTTTCAATCGGCCATTAACCCATTCTGTGCCTCCATTTGACTGGGGTAATATGGGCTATGAAAAACCCATTGAATTCTGCCTTTTTGGCCCATTGTACCTACTTACGTGGAAAATGTGAGCTCGTTTCACTGCTCAGACTAGAGATAAAAGTCGCTTTTCCCATTTAGAACATCTGTGTTCTGTCTCCTTAAATGCAGTCCAGCTAAGCAGTGAAGATGTTCAAGAACACGTAATCACAGAATGATTCTATGCAGGTGCTTTTACTGAAGAGCTCTGGGTGTCAGGGGCACAGACCCAAATCTGACTCCAATACGGGTTCGGGATGAACACGTTTTTATACCCTTATCGTTATATAACTACATATTAATTATTACACTTATATTGTTCTATTGTATACATTGATTTCATCCAAGCATGGATTTTGTAATTTCCATCAAACCCGCCAAACATCGTTTCTCATGATTCTTGTTATGATTAAACAATCATTATATCCAATTACCAAACAATCATCGCATCTAACAATCATGCAATTTATCATAGTCATCAAATGATTATACAGGTGCAGCCTAACATTTTCCCAGGGCTTACCAGGCCTATCCCTCCTTTCCAACTCCCCTGAATATTCCATGATTTTGGAAACATTTTATCCCTATACTATCAAAGGTACCCTTGGTCAGTGCCAGTTTGAAGCAAGTTGCCTTTAGGTGCCATGCTGGGAAAAGCCCCATCCTGCAGTGACAGGATTGTGGGGTGTACTGCTCCTGTTGGAAATCATACAGCTTTTACATTTTCTTGCTACCTTTAGTCAGGAGTTTCTTTCACCTTTGCCCCAGGGGAGGATAATTGCAATTTTTGGAATTCTTGAAAATAACACTTTATTAGATAATTCTTTCCACCTCTGTTTTCTCAATGGACGAACTGTAATCCTAGTTCCTGAATTCCCATTCTTGGGAATGGTCAATTAGTCTGACATTGCACATAGAATTCTTGGTATCCCCATGAAAATTACTTCATCCCACATCTCACCCATATTACTGAGTTGTGGGATGGAGTGAATTTCGTGGTGATACCAGAAATGCATGCAGTTAGTGTTCCACAGGTGGGGATTTCCTCGTGTTCTAAAATTTCAGTAGCACACCTCGACAATTGTTCATTAAAAGCGGTGTCTTTTGTAATTTCATTTCATTTTGTAACAAGGCCAAGGATTTGGCCCATCTTCAGGAGATGCAGTTAATTTTCTAATCTGTGCAATGTCAGGAGCACCTGGAGCCTGTGTAAGCATTAGCTAAACTTCTTCCTCCAACTTTTGTTTTCTTTTTTGTCCTCCTGTAACTGTCTCTGCAGCTGTTCTATTTTCAAGGACAGTAATAATAACTCAGCTGCTTTCCAGTTCAGTGGTCAGTTCTTGTTTCTCTTTAATATTTTCTCTTCTGTGCTGGCAGGCAACCTTCCACCATCCCAGGTTGCTCCAAGCCCCATCCAACCTGGCCTTGAACACTTCCAGGGGTGGGGCAGCCACAGCTTCCCTGGGCAACCTGTGCCAGGGCCTCACCACCTTCACAGGATGATTTTCTTCCCAATATTCAATGTAACCCAGTGTCTTTCCCTTTAAAGCAGTCATGATGCAATGGGTCACCTTGGCTCTGTGCTCCAGCTCCCTCTTACAGCACCAGACTACTGGTCCCTGTGTTTTGGCTTTCCAAGCCCTTGCAGAGCTGTAGAAAACTGGTTTTTGGGCTCTAACAGAGTTGCTGGACTTTGTGTCAGGTGAAGCAGGCTTGGACAGTCCTTGGGATGTAAGTGTTGGGAGGCTCCTCAGGTTCCCTGAGAGCAGAGGAGTTTGTTTGCCCCTCCAAGTGCTGGCCAGCACTGGATCTTGTGGTTCCCTCATGGGGTTGGGATGCTCCCAGATGGGAGGCTGAAAGCTCTTTGCTCACAAATCACCAGCACCATCTCCTCCTTCAGACATGGAAGAACAAAATCAACGAGGCCAACAAGATGGCCCTGCTGGCCTGGGAGAAGGAGACGGGCATCGAGCTGGTGCAGATCAACGGGCAGAGGCGCTACGGGGGCCCTCCCCCAGGTATGGCAGAGTGGGGCCGGGAGGGGACTCACCCTTGTTAAAAATAGGTTAGAAACTGCTGTAAAATACTTGGTAATTGTTAAGCATGTACTATAGTTTGGTTATGGTAAAAGGGGTTAAAAGGGCAGTTATAAGAAATATGGTACTCAAGATACCATAACACACCTCAGTAAAGTGCACCACAAGCCAGCCTGGACAGAACTGTAATGGCACCTTAAACCTTCATGCAAATGAAGGATCCCGATAGAAACCAATCCAAAGGGACAAAAAACAGGATTAAAAAGAGGCTTCTGACCCAGGGAAGGAGGGTGCCGCTGAACCTGTGTCACATACAGACATTTTATGAAAATTCCTTTCCTTAGGATTTTTTCTCCTGAGAAGCTGAGAAGCCTCAGGAACAAAATGTAAACAATGGTATCTGCTGCTGTGGAATGCAACAGGTGCATCTGTGATTGGTCTCATGTGGTTGTTTCTAATTAATGGCCAATCACAGTCAGCTGGCTCGGACTTTCTATCCAAGCCACAAACCTTTGTTATCATTCCTTCTTATCTATTCTTAGCCAGCCTTCTGATGAAATCCTTTCTTCTATTCTTCTAGTATAGCTTTAATATAATATATATATCATAAAATAATAAATCAAGCCTTCTGAAACATGGAGTCAGGATGAGGGGAGAGATGAGGATCAAAGACCCCTGTGAACATGGTCACATACCTGGACCAACGGGGCCATTGCTGCCAGCACTGCAGCATCCTCGAGGGAACGCTCCTGCTTGACCCATGGGCCCCCATGCTTTAGGCCTTTACTTTTTATTATAATAAATGCTGGAATCACTGTAGTACTGGGAGTGTGGTCCCGTTTTTACAGCTACGGTCACAGCGTCCCCATGTCCCCGCAGGCTGGGTGGGCGGCCCGCCGCCGGCCGGCACCGAGGTGTACATTGCCAGGCTGCCGCAGGACATCTATGAGGACACGCTGCTGCCGCTGTTCGGGAGCGTGGGGCGGCTCTACGAGTTCCGCCTGATGATGACGTTCAGCGGGATGAACCGCGGCTTCGCCTACGCCCGCTACGCGTGCCGGCAGGACGCGCGCCGCGCCATCGCCACCTTCCACCGCTTCCAGCTGCGCCGCGGCTGCGCCATCGTCGTCTGCTGGAGCACGCAGAAGCGCGAGCTGCTCGTCAGCGGCCTGGGCGCCTCGGTGAGCCAGCAGAAGCTGGAGGCCACGCTGCAGAGGGTCACCGAGGGCATCTGTAGCGTCACCCTGCACGCCAGCCCCTCCCAGAAACAGGCCAAGCTCGCAGTACTGAAGTACAGGTCGCACCAGGCTGCTGCCCTGGCCAAGAAAGCTCTGATGGAAGGTGAGTGGTGCTCAGGAATGCTGGTTGGGCTGGGCTTCGCACTGCTAGATGTGACTGCAAGGTGACTTCAGCCTTGAGACACTCCTTGCTCTCTCCCTGTGTCCTGTGGGATGCCAGCTGCCCATGGGGCTGTTGATTTTCAGCAGTCCTGGTGGTGGGGTGAAGGAGCTGCTCAGAGCACGAGCATCACCAGTTCAGAGCACCCTGAACATCAACCAAGTCATTAAACCTTTCCAGTGGAGCTGCCCAACCCCTCAGTGTCCCTTAAACGCTCCTGATAGAGCTGCTCAGTCCCTCTGAGCCCTGTCCCATGGCTGCAATGCCCTGATGGGACACACTTCCCAGACATCCAACCAGCACCTCCAAAGTCTTGGTTTGTACCCATTCCTGCCCCAGCTGAGGAGCATTTGGCTTTGATACCTGTTCAACTTGGCCCTAAAATCAAGCTGCTCCTAACATCCTGGAGATCGATGGGATGGGATGGGATGGGATGGGATGGGATGGGATGGGATGATGCTGGAGGGTAGGTGAGCTTCTCCTGTCTCCTAGGGACCCTGAGGCTCGGGAAAGCAAAGATGACGGTGGAATGGCTGAATCCCCAGCTGAAGCAGAAGCTGCAGCTCTGTGAGGAGGAGCCACCATCCAGCTGGGTGCAGGGAGGTGAGAGCCCAGCAGTGCCCCCGCTTCCGTCGCTGCAGAACGTGCTGGACTGCCTGAACGCGCTGTGCTGGAAGCATCACCTGAGGACACCCCTGATCAGGACCAAGTGTGTCCAGGTGAACCCCAACGGGTGGCAGCACTTCTGGTACCAGGTGGCCATCCCAGGGTCCCAGGTCCCCGTCAGTGGCTTCATGTGGATCTCACCAGACAGGCAGGGCCAGAGCGAGCACGAGAAGGCCAAGGTGGTGGCAGCCCTGTACGTTCTGCGGGCGTTGGCTGAGTCCTTGGTGAGCCCTTGCACAGCCTTTCCCAAAGTCCTGGAGGGTCCCCTGGGAAGGTGGAGCTGTGGCACTTCTGGGCAGGGTGGGATGGGGCAGGGAGGGACCCAGGCTGGCTGGCAGGGCTGAACACTGTCAGCTCTGAGCTGAGGATCTCTGATTTAAGCACAGGATGCAAGAGGAGGGGGTTTGGGGCTTAGGGCACAGCCTAACCTTTCTCTCTCCCCTGCAGGGTGCCAGCTGAAGTAGCAGCTGCTCTATCACAGCCACGACTGAGCCCCAGCCCTGCTGGGCTCCTGGCCCTGTTCCAGCATTCCTTGGAGTTATTTGCATCAGTTTTGAGAGCTGGCTCTGGAGGATAAAGGCTGCTGTCCTGTTCCACGGCAGCCACCACGTCCCCGGGCAGCCCTCGAGTTGGTTCTAGTTTTGGGTTGTTGGTTTTCCTGTTGCCAAGTTTGGCTGTTAAGCTGGTTGGTGTGGTGGAGGGCAGGTCCTGGAGAAGCAGCAGCAGCTCTTGGAGGGGCTGTGCCAGGCCTGGATGCCAGTGTGATGGAGGGAATTCCTCCACTGGCATTCCTGAGGAGCAGCCTCAGGGAAGAACAAGGCCAGCACAGAGAGAGTCCCAGGGGTCACAGATGTTCTGTGAGCTGCTGGAGCTGCTGTGTGGGGAGAGGAGTGCCCTTAACCTGTTTGCATAGTGAGGGAGCAGCTGTGGAGTTGGCAGCTGTCCCTGAGTGATCCCTCAGCAGTGGCAGCTCTGGCCACGTGCTGTTCTTTTGGCATTAAAGAGTTCTGGAGAGCACCAGCTCAGTCATGTCATCTTTTCCTCCTGCAGCCTCAGCTCCCTGCGTGTCCACTGCATCTCAGTGCTCTCCCCACACACCAGTGAAGGGACAGGGTGGGATCTAGAGCCTGGTGAGCCCATTGTGTGGGAAGCAGCATTCCCTAACACCTTGATCTTTGTTGTCTTCTACTCACTGGGCTCTTTCTCACCAGCTTTTGATACTCCTCAGGCTCCTCCAAGTGCCTCCTGATGTCTCCATGTTTTTTTGTGGTCCTCTGAGATATCTGGGAGCACCTTGTTGGAGGTTTTTCCTTTTGTTTTTCTCTGTCTTAGGGAATTTCCCCACGTTTTTGTTGCTAAGGAGCAATAACCATTCCAAGGGAGGCTCCTGCCTTCCTTAGCAGACACCTGCCTTTCAAACCAGGACACCCCTTTATGCTCTCCAGGGACTTCAGGTCTCAGTTTTGTTGACTGCCCACCCCCAGCTCCAGGAACGAACCCGTGGGGGCTGCAGATGGTGCTCCAAGGGCTCCCAGGCAGTGCTGGGAATCCACTGGGGAATGTGAGCCACAGCCAGGAGTAGAAATGCTGGAACTGTACCAGATCAGATCCTCCCTGTTCCCCAGCAGGTGCAGGCCATGGCTGACACTGTTCCAGGCCCTGCTGCCCACTCTGCCCATCCCAGGGAGGGATCCCTGTCCCTGCTCATGGCACTCTGTGACCCACCAAGTCCCATCCCTCTTCCTTCGGCGATCCCCAGGATCCTCCAAGAGCCTTGGGGTGCACTCTTTAGGTTCTTCCTTGCGCTCCCTGGAAGTCTGTCTGTCCCTCCTGGGCACACCAGGACTCCTTGCCTCATGAGGATGAACCATCAGCACAAGGTGCTGGGAAGTGAAAGGCACTGAGTTTATTTCTAACAGAGCTAAAGTCTTCATTAATTAATTAACAAAGGGTAATTGACCTGCTGGGACAGGGATCCTTCAGAGCCTGGTGGGCCCAAGCCTGGGAGCCTCTGTCCTCCCCCCATCCCAAAACGACCTAAAGGACCCCAAAATTCATCCACAAACCCCAGCATTACGCCCTCCCCTGCATCCCTCACCACAGACCCCAACCCTGTCCCCCCATAGCTCAG